TCCAGCGGTGGTCGAGGAGGAGCTTCTTCCTTCTCTCTTGCTTAGATCCCCTCTTGTGAAGAATGAGGGCTATTTATATAGATTTTCTGGATTGGCATGACCCGTAAATAGGCGTGAGATCAGGGGCGAATTGGGAGTGTTTTGAATGGACAGCCGATATTGAATCCTTTGATCAAGCACCATTCGTTGGGCATTTGAAAGCCTTAATGATGTTGGAATTCGGCGATCTTGGGCTCGTTGGGTTCGTCTCGTCGAGCCGCTCGATTCGAGTATAAGCTCGTTAAAATCGGAGACCGTTTAGTAACTCAAATTGTGGTTTGAACCTTCCAACAGAGCTTCGGGTCCTTGATTCAGACTCATTTGGGCTCGGATTGGGTTGATCTTGGTGTCGTTGAGTTCGTATTTCCGAGACGCTCAGTTTGACTATAAGCTTGCTGAAATCGGAGTTCGGATTCTCCCGAAATTAAATTTTGAAGTTTCCAACTAGCTTTTTGCCTCGAGATTTGTGCCCGATCAAGATAATTTTTGCATGATGTATCAAGTCTGATCGATAGGATGGAGTGAAATTGTATTCCTTAATTTTTTTTATATAAAATTTCTAAAAAGTATATTCCTTAATTTTTAAATTTGCATGAAGGCCTTTAAAGTTTCAAGGAAAATGATAAAACCCTTTATCATAAAAATTATAATAAAAATTAGTCACAAAGCTGTCATGTGAATGCTTAAAAATTTAACTAAGGAGCTATTTGATTTGCTCTAAAAGAAATGTAAAGTAAAAGGGGATGTTTGATTTGTTAAAAAAAGAATATAGATATAGATTATGATATGATTCTAGTGAATTTTTTTTTCACTCTGTAATTTATTTTCAATGTATCGTAAAATTATCTAGTTTGACCGAATTCTTCTTTTTTTTTTTTACTACAAACTAATCACATTATCTCCATGTATCTACCGATCACCACCACCCACTGTTGTCAAAAATCACTGATCTCCATCCACAGTTATCGACCACCATCAGTCACTGCTAACTCATCAGCAATCTACCTTCATTGACATATCAATAAATTAAGAGATTGTACTTCTCTCACTTAAAATCTCTAATGACTTAAAATATGCAACAACACATAAAATAATAATCCCTTGCTTGGTGGCAATCTTGGTAGTCATTCCTCATTGCAGCTTGGTGTTGGTTCATGATTTGTGGCCTACAATGGATGGACATTGCTTGGCTTGGAGGTGGGTGTGTGTGGCCTCATTACTGAGTCCGATGGACGCTCGACTTTTTCACTTTGAGTTGTGCTATTACGCTCTTCTGGGTTTTTGTTGAGCCTGTGTTGGACTGTTTTTTTTTTTTTTTTTCTTTTATCTTTTGTTGATTGTAATCTTGTTATAGATGGATCGTTAGCTTAGTCTGTCTTACTTTAACTACTATTTTTTGTTATTGAGTTGGGTTTCCTTTAAGAGCTTGTAATCATTTGCTATTTTTAACGTGTAAATCCCTCTTCGGGTTTTGTTTTAATAATAATAATAATAAATAGCTTATATATATATATGTATATATTATCTGAAGGAATATAACCTGAAAATTAGCACGTTGATTCTTATCTCCTCTCTGACAAGCCAAGATGAAGACGACCAATCATTCTTAATGGCTGCGTCATTATGAAAACACTGCACGTGCGTGGTTTATTCTAACTGCTAAATCACAGTTAATTAAATTAACTAACTCACTAATACTCAAAGAATGGTCTATTATTTGGCCACGTCAGCGCAATTAGATTACGCTTAAATTTGGCCACGTCAGCGCAATTAGATTGCGCTTAAATTTGGCCACGTAGCTCACAATACCACCAAATTATTTTATACAATAATTTATTCACAGATCGTATATCCGTATCTGGTAAAGCCGAACCGGACAGAGCCATCTAATCTAGGAAACGTGTCTTTTATATGAGCCGGGCCCACAGCTGTATCCCAATCCCGAGGAGACTAAATTCGGATGAACACGTGGCTCGTTCCCAGGGGAGGAGTGCCGTTCTATGGGCCCCATCGGGAGGGGAATTTGCTGGACTGTTGTTTGTGTTGATGGGCTTAAGCTCGGGCCATGTGAGATGTCTTTAGTTTGGGTCGTTTTGTTTTTCCGAATTGGGTACGGGGGTATGTAGTGGGCCCGGCCCGCTGTTCGTCTTTAGAATGACTGCTAGGTCCGTGACTGTAAGCATTGCCAGTTTGACCAATCAGTTTGACTGAGGGAAAAGAAATATTGGCTTATTGTTTAGTTGGAGGGAATTTGAGTGTATTATATTTCAAATGCAATGGTTTCGTAATTTTAAGTATTTGATTTGGGAGTAAAGTAAATTTAAAATTTTTAAGGAGTTTGAAGCTCATATTATAAGTCATTTTTTCGGTAATCTAAATTCACGTAAATCGAGTGAATTTAGAATACACCTTCCAAAGTGATGCATTTCACCCACCGTTGTTTAGCTTGGTCGATGGGTGGGTTCGATTTGGAATCCCCCAACTCGTGCTCGATTCCTCTCTCGAACTGTATCGCCTCTTAAATAGGGCCCAATCAAGTACGGGACAGAAGATTTCTGAGGTGGTTGCCACTTCTAGGTCAGCCGAGATTCAGTCACGCCACCAAACGCCCTTTCGGGGGTGACAGTGACTGGATACCTTGTCCCACAAAAAAATTGATGCATTTCTTTTCACTTGATTTGAAACCACACAACCCCAAATCAATAGGTAATTTACAAACTCCGACAAATTTCACAATACAAGTGTGGCCCCACATCCATCAATGACCCCAAGAACTTCGTATATATTTAAAAGCATTATCAATGCACATTATTTTAATTTCATATTACATGGTTAAAAAATATGTTAAATTAGAAATCTCCATTATAGATTTAATCTTTTTAATAAAAAATATATTTGTTAATTGATATATCAATCAAATTAACAGTCCTAAACATCATCATCATATTATATTATTATTGGTGCATCTTTCATTTTTGCATATACTAAAATTGCCTATCAAATTCATCTTTAACAAAATTCACCCCTACACTTTATATTATTTCATAAAATTATAATTTTGTAACACAGCTTAATTGTAAAATGTTGAAACATTGATTTATATTGAAGAATATATCTGACTATTGTTAGCACAAAAAACAATTATATAATAAGGCTTGATCCTCTCATGCCATCATTTTCTTCAGATTGACTCCTTTATTTGAATGTCTTCAATTCGAAGAGGCGGCTCATCAACATCACTGCTTTTGCAACCAAGATTTCCATTAACATCTTCCTTCTCCAATTTGCCATTACTCCCTGATTTTGGAGAAGATGAAGAAGCTTCAGATGAATCCTCAGAGCGAGCATCCGATAAGGATGATATTGATCGTCGCGGAGCTGATGCCACCGGTTGATCCGGGCAAAGAACAGAGCCACCCGAACTCAATAAAGCATTCATCTTCTTATCATCTTCTTTCATTCGATTGGCAAAATTCAGGACGTCGAATCCATTCTGATTGCGCCCTCCGAATGCTGATTCAAGCTTGTCCATGTCGAAGAGGTCCAGCATTACTTTCTGGCTTTCAGGGTTGTCAGAGTAGACAAATTTCACCTTCTTGTATGTTTTCTGCTCAAGAAATGGTTTCACCATCTGTAAAGGGGAAGGAATTGGTCAGTTGAAACCATTCATATCAGTATGGGGAATGCTTATTTTGGGAAAAGCATGATGTTTAGTGTTTGCATGTAAATCAATAATTTTTATTTGATTTGAAGCAAAGTTCAAAAAATCTGTAGGGAAATAAAGCTTCATTTGGGACGGTTTTCGTATTGCGTCTTAACGCATCTTTTTAGTATAAAAATTTTATTTTTTGTACTAAAAAGATGCTTTAAGAAGCAGTAAGAAAGCCATCACAAACGAAGCCTAAATGACCTAGTCTTGATTTGGAGGTTTGCTTTGCAGCATTAAAAATACAGATGATCAAACAGCCCTTTTACTCCTAGATAAACCATGGAAATCTTAGTAAATATCATAAGATCTGCATGCTCATATTCAATGAAAATGTCAAAGAAAGAACTAATTTGTGTTATTTTTGGTGGACTTTATTTTATTTTGTAATTTTTAATTTTGATACTTTGCATATGCCGATGCTATTAGACATTATATTTTTTATCAGATTTGAATGGAAACTTGACTCTTAACGGGACACAATTCAGAAAAAGAATTCATTTTGTCGACCCGACATACAGTGATTAAGGCTTGAATTTGTTGCTGTTGCATATGCCATTGATGAATGCCTATGAGAATGGAATGTGATATATATGTGATATGGTACATAGTTTGGTTCGGTTAATGTTCGATATAGGCTTTGTTTGGGATAGCTTTCTTTCTCCTTTTTAAAGCAGCTGAAGCTGCTTTAAGAAGCAATAAGAAAGCCGTCCCAAATGAAGCCTTAAGAATCTAGAAGGTTCAGTGAGTACAATCATTAGATGTGGCAAGGTTGAGCTAACTTTCAAGTTATGAGTTTGAATTTTGGATGATTCTATTTCCCTAAGTGTGGTATGGTGAAGTTCATGAAATTCCCATTTATTTTGATAATCCAAACTCACAATAGGCCATGAGCTTCATAGATATTGTTTTCAGAGTTCCTCTTTTGCTGTTTTTTTTCCTGATTGTAAGGGTTGCAAGTTGTAAATTTTAGTATTTGCTTCTTCTAGTTAAGGTCTCGTTTGGGTCGACTTTCTTATTGTTTCTTAAAGCAGTTTTTTAATATAAAAAATTTAATTTTTGTACTAGAAAACTGCTTTAAGAAGCAACAAAAAAGTCGTCCCAAACAAAACCTTAGTATTATCCAGATAATTGAGATTTGAATTTTGAGTACTCTAAACCAAACATGACCTAATTTTATGCCAATCTTATATGCTAATGAACATTGGAATGAAAATATATAAATATATATACCTGTAACATGTAATTTTATTCAGTTTAAAATTTAATAAAATTATATATTTTTGCTTTCAATCTTGTCCAAGTGTGTGGCTTAGATTTTCTCTACTTTTCTGACTTTTTTTTTCCTTAAATATTTAGTTATTGGTGTTAAAACAGATCTGACTTTGGACAAATTTGCAACAATTGAGATTTTAATTACCATGGAAAATTCAAATTGCTCATTATTTTTTTATGGTTCAAATTTATGTTCATTTCTTCGAATTAATCATTACATTATAATTTGTTTTTTAGGTTTTTTTTTTTTCTAGTTTATACAAAGAAGTGGATTTTTAAGTGAGTTGTTGTCTTTGTTATGCAAATCCTATTTGCTTTAGTGATCTACATTTATTGTATCATCCATATTGCATTAGGAGAGCTAAATTCTAAGACACTACACATATTGACATCAGAGATTCATGGTTTGTCAATATGTGATGGACCGGCTTAGCCTGTAGGCTCCACTAGAGTGGACGGCGGGCAAGAAGAGCAAATGAGATTAATTCTACTTTAATAACATAATCATAGAAAATTAAAATTTGGAGGAAATTAGAAAATTTTATTTAAGGAAAGAAGACTGATTTGAATTCAGATTTGGGAGGAAATTATGAAAGCTTTATTTAGGGGAAAAGGCTGATTTAAATTAAGAGGTGTAAACGAGTCGAGTCAAGCTCGAGTAGTAGCGAACAAGAGCTCGACTTGTCACACAAAACAGTTGCTCGAACTCGAGCTCGAGCTCGTGTCGAGCCCAAAAGAGCGAGCTCAAGCTCGACTTAGTTGCCGCAAGTAAGTGCCGACCGCGGCTCGCTCGCTGCGGAGAAGAAAGCTTGCTCGAAAAAATGAAGAAGGGTGATGTTCTCGAAAAGGCTGCTTTAATTGTGTGTCCTATTGCTTTTTTGGTGGAAAAGTGTATGCAGTAGCTTTTTCTCTTTAAAAAGAAAAAAAAAGCTATTTAATTGTTTTTTTTTTTAAATTTGTACTATGTTATATAGTGTAATAATTACATGTATAATAAATGTTATATAATTGTTTAATACATTAAAACTTTATATTTTTTTTAACAGGGTATCCACCTACTGCCACCCTCGAAAGGATGCTTGGCAGCGTAACTAATCATCAGTTGACCTAGAAGAGGCACACACCCCAGAAACAACCAAGCCCGCACTTGATTGGGATTACAACTTTATGTTAACTTCAATTTTAAATGATTAATTAAATCGAGCCTCGCAAGCCGACGAGTCGAATTTTAATAAGCTCGAACACGAGCTCGTCTAATATTCGACTTTGAGCTCAAGCTCGTGGCTTGATAAGCTCGACTCGCTGGCTTATAAACAAATTGAGTTTGAGTCGGCTCATGAGCCGGCTCAGCTCATTTACACCCCAAATTTGAATTCAAATTTGGGAGAAAAATATGAAATGTTTATTTAGGAAAAGATGACTAATTTGAATTCAGATGTGGGGGGGAAGTAGGAAGGTTTATGTTAGGGTTAATTAGTTTGTTTTATTTTCATTATGTGATTTGCGTGTTTGCTATAATTTTTTTTTTTTAAGTTGTTCCTAATGATGACTAAGATTTGTGGAGAGCTGATCTATCTCTTGAATAGTAGATCAACTTGTATCTTGATTTTTATGCCTATATCAATAAAATTATCCCATAATCTCTTTCTTTCTCGCTGATTTCTATTGCATTTTCTCTTAGTTATTATTGTTTTTGCTGTGTGGAGATCAGATCCTATCAAATTGGTATCAGAGCATCTTTTTTGGAAGTCTGGAACCTATGGAAGCTAAAAAGGTTGGTGCGTTGGAGGAGAGGCTTGATAGGGTTGTTAGAAATATGAAATATGAATTCAAATAGTGAATTTCAGCAATTGAGAGCAGACCTTCGAATATGGAATAGATGATGAAAAGGATGTTAGAGTTTCAAGCCAAGACGACATCATCAAAGGCAAGGGCTCCGTCGGCTGGACAAGGAAGTGAGGGAAACCCTAATATAGGGACGATGATGGAGGATTGGGAGGTCGCAAGCGACATAGCCGGAAGCTAAAAAGAAGTAATTCATAGGTTTCTTTTAATGTTTATTATCATTTTGTTGGCAGATTGGTGTTGTTAGGTTTTTTGTGGTTTGACATACTGTGATGAGACAGGCCTCCTGCACACCTCTCTAGAAGGCCATGGCCCATGGCTTGTTTTGACAACATTAGTGGATCCTTTTTTGGTGTATTCGAGGGTGGATTTCATATTTGATGGCCCAAACCTGGCAACCAGGTGGTGATTCTGAGTCCAGCTCTTAGGATTATCTATCTTTTCGGGCTTACTTTGCTTTTTTGGATTAATGAGGCTTTCTTTCAGCTTTGTATACTTCCTTTTTTTGTTTTTCTTTCCTTTTGATTGTATGTCCTTTTTCTTTTGAAAAAAAAAATATTTGGGAGGTGGAAATTTTGCAGGAAGAAGAGATGCCACTTTTGGAGTCACTTTCAAGGAGGGAATTATAATAACCCAAAAGTACAAAATGAATTTATTTGAAAAATATAAAAATTCTGAAGTAGAGCGCTGTGGTGTTAGGCCACTAATAATGTTTTTATATATATTGTATTATAAATACTCTTACCTCATCCAACTGCCTCCATTGCTTGGTTGCTTGGCTAAGAAGAAATTGAAGGAGAAGAATAAGAGAAAGGAGACAGAAAGGTCTTCGGATCGTATCTATATCAATAATCAATCTATAACACATCATATCTTAGTCAATTCTATTTCATTCTTCCATCAGAAACTCTAATCAATCTATTAGTTAGTCGATATTTATCACTCAATCAATTCCATCCAATCTTATCATTCATTCAACTCACGTTAATTTTTCAGTTACAGCCACAATATCAATAACAATATTTAGTAACAATAACAGAGTTGTATCAATAACAGTATCGATATTCTCACTGTCAGTCACAAGAATAGTAATAGTAATAAGTAATAGCAATCAGTAATAATGATTAGTGTCCATAATATTAATATCCCTACAATATCAAAATTCTACGGCATGATAGGGAAAGGGTGAAGGAGCAGGATTTTTGGAAGTGCTGGAGAGTTTGAAAGTAGAAGAAGATGGGGAGAAGACTTCTGCTCTAGAAAATGGCATAAGAAAATTGCTTTTAGATTTTTTTTAATTATTAAATAATATATAATAATATTATTATAATTAATTTTCAATAGAAAATTCGCTATGAGCTTCATAGATATTCCCTTTTCTGGCTTCTATTGTTTTCAGAGTTCCGCTTTTGCTGTTTTTTTCCTGAGTGCATGGGTTGCAAGTTGTAAATTTTAGTATTTGCTTCTTCTAGCTTAGTATTATCCAGATAATTGAGATTTGAATTTTGAGTACTCTAAACCAAACATGACCTAATTTTATGCCAATCTTATATGCTAATGAACATTGGAATGAAAATATATAAATATATATACCTGTAACATGTAATTTTATTCAGTTTAAAATTTAATAAAATTATATATTTTTGCTTTCAATCTTGTACAAGTGTGTGGCCTAGATTTTCTCTTCTTTTGTGAGTTTATATTTTCCTTAAATATTTAGTTATTGGTGTTAAAACAGTTCTGACTTTGGACAAATTTGCAACAATTGAGATTTTAATTACCATGGAAAATTCAAATTGCTCATT